GATTAACGAGGTCTTACCTTTTAACGTGTGATTCCTAACGCGGGTTGGACGATAGCAAGTGAAGATCGATCGTTCAGACTAGGGCTTGAACCACCGACCAACACGGCAGTCAATTCGAATGAGTGAACAAAGCACCCACGCCGAACCGCTTGGCTACCGACTGACCAATCTCCTAATAAATCTCCTAATAAAAAGAATTTATGCTGAGGAAACCTATCTAATACACTTTCAACACTGGCACAATGTCGTATGCGTGTGGGCTAAAACTGTTGCATAAGATTTAAGAAGATTGGACTTTATCAAAAACACGTGCATTAAAATGGCACAGTGCATTTAAAAGCGTTCGAGATGTAGTGGAAGATTTACCTTGGTCTGGTCGGCCATCAACATCCACAACATCGCTAAAGTAACGAAAGTAAAGAAAATGGTCACTGAAAATCGTCATTTTAGTCTAAGAGAGATAGCCACTGAATTTTCTATGTCTATCGAATCAGCTCGTACCAGTTCGTACCGTTCCCACATTCATAAAACACATTGTAACTGATGGTGAGACATGGATTACAAATTTGATATGATAACGAGTCAACAAGCTTTGAAATGACGCTTTCTAACTAAGCCGAAACAGAAAAAAGCTCGTTAAAGTCGATCAAAAAGTGATGATAATTTTTTTATCACCGCGGTATTGAGCACCCAAAATTCTTGGGTGAGACAATAAATAAAGAATAATATTTGAGCGTTATTCGGCATTTTAGATAGCAAATTCGTCGAAATAGACCATCCATATGGAAAGAAAAGTCATGGATTTTGCACCACGATAACACACAATCTCACAAGGATCTCATTGTAAACGAATTTGTGATCAAAAATTCAACAAATTTCATCGAATAGCCACCATATTCACCATATGGCTCCGGCCGATTTTTATTTTTTAAAAACTCAAATTACCGCTTTGAGGCACCCGTTTTCGGTCGATAGATGACAAAAGATAAGGAATTTTATTTGTTTGGTCGTGATACTCAGACGGTTCACACCGTTCTGAAAAAACCATGCCCGGTTCTGATGATGGGGCAAACACCCCGAAACCGGTCTGTCGGTTGGTCGGATAGACCAAATTAAATTAATTTCTGCTTTTCATAGTGGGAAATAACTTGCAACGAATCTTCCAAATCGTAGACATTGCACAGGTGCCTGATGGTAACTATAATGTTTCTGAAGTATAAAATGTTATCATTTAGAAGTACTTTCAGCAGTTGTGCTTGAGAAAGATATTGTATAATGGAACACGTATCAAGGTTCTGTAAAACGATCGTAGTGAGAATCACAATAAACTGAATTAGTAACATATCATTTTAAAATACTTTGCACTCGTAAATATTGTCATTCAATCAAATGCATACTCACTATAATCTTTTACTGACATTTTGGCACCTTTAGCTCCCTTCCTTATTGAATTGAAGGCCACCACCCAAGTAGCTCCTTCTGAAACTAGTGATCCTCCCAGTATGAAATATGCCTGAAATGTAAATAGTTGTTTTCTCGTTTTACAATAAAAGCATTTATGTAAAAAAATTCATTCAACATTCATAGTACTTCATAAAACAAAAATTAGTTTGATTTTGGTAAAATTTCAAGAAAATTGTGTATCTCAAATATTGCTTTTATTGCTTCAGTTAAAAAATTCACAAGCGGAGGCCATCTATTCAGTTATTTCTGCTTATTGTATTCTCACCCAATACAAGTTTTCTATCGGAGTTGGATAGATGAGACCCGATATTCCATGATAGAAAGATAAACCAGTCCCTACACAAAATATTCCGACGCCTGAAATGAGTGAAGCCACATACTTCATATTAGAATATCCATAGGGGTGATAAGAATCAGCAATCTAAAAAATGTAGATATATAGCAGTTATCTATGCACATTTTGTAAAATAAATTTACTGACTTCTGTATTATCAGCTACTAGAAAAAAAAACATAGTAATATGCTTAGATGCATCCTCTGAACACATTAATGTTTCCAAACACACTCATGGTTACAATATATATTAGGGAGAGCAATAACTTATTCACTTTTTCTTAGATAAATATGTTCATGGGTGTTCAATATACTTTTGACATAGGATATATCTCAAATAATCAGCAGAAATTTGACCAAGGTGACAACATCATTTTTCTCATAGTTTATATTCCAAACATTCGTAATGGAATTGCATCAGATATCACTCACATAATTCCTACACGATATAATTAATGAAAGAAGCAAATTTCAATTACACAAAACACTGTCATCCTTTCACTTAAAAAAAAAATCCTTTGGGTGGGATTCAATCAAATGAGCGAATGAATGTTATTTACGTAGTCACGAGGACATGTGTGGATTCGACCCATTCCGTGTCAAAAAGTCCTAATTTTATGAACGAATTGAGTGTTTTTTATAATGTTATCCGTATTTGGTACTGAAGAGCCAACAAAGCAAGTTTCTGATGGCGAAACATCAAGATGTCTACCAGTGAGGATGACAGTGTTCCATGTAAGTGAAATTTGCTCCTTTCATTAATTAGATTGTGTAGGAATCCTGTGAATGATCTGATTCAATTCCATAAGAGTGTTTGGAATACAAACGGAATAGAAAAAATGTTTTCATATAATTCAGCGTTCATAAAAAAGTATTTGTTTTGAAAGTATTTTTCTTTTGTGTAATTCAATGTTTATATGAAAATAACTGTTTCTTGATGGTTTTTTCTTCCAGTTTGTGCGTGAAAGTTACTTCTTTGCATGATCTACACATATACAGTTAATTTTTTAAATTGATTGCTTCCTTCCTTTCTTTGGAAGATTCCCACATTTTTTGTATTAAGATGGAGAAGTAGAACCAAAACTTTTCTTATTATCTTATTATTATTGACATATTAGTGTTATGAAGTATCCGCAGTTCATTAAATAGGAAAAAGTTAGAAATCAAACCAATGCATCAACATACAGAACAGTGAATCCCAAAAACCTCAGTTGTTATTTTGTTTGGCTGGAGGTAAAAAAGTAAGTTACATTACCTTACGAAGAAAAGGTAACGAAAGTATCATGAACGTTGAAATATGCGTCCTATAGTTTATCTTTTATACTTTTCTGCATTACCTTACCTCACTTTTATGAAAACAAGGCTTAAGCCTTGAGAATTAACCTACTTCAAAATATATTCTTCAACAGTCAATCATTGAACTGACATTTCGATTTGAAATATATAGTTTATAGTATCTAATGAAAAACAATAATAAGAACATGGACTCTGAAAGTGAAAATGAGTGGACCCCATTAGAAATTTTTAATGTGGCGAAAGGTTTTTCACTTAATAATAAAATGAGAATAGTAAGAAACTCAAAGAGCTATATTTCACACAAATTTTATAGCAGCTTTAAGAAGCAGTTGGTGAATTAGGGAATGGTAAACCAGTGATCATGTGTTCAAGTCAACCCGGCGGTAGTTTTTCAATTTTTCCTTAACCTCAATTTTCAAACTATATAATTGAATGAAATAACAAAAATAGGAGATATTTTTTATTGCTTTTTAAAATTGTCTTCTTGATATAAAATTACTTTCATTCGGGATATCCTTCACACATGAATTTAATTTAAAATATTCACTACTCATTACGTTTTCATGAGTAATAACCACATTTCTCAACATTAACATTAATTGGGTTAGATTTCTAACTGTATTGAATTATAGGGGTGATTCTAGATCTGCTGGTGTGAACATTCCAACTAAACTTCAAATTCGTTCTGTGATATTTTACCCAGCTATTGTTTGAATATATCTTCCTGAGAATTTACATCAAGAAAAAAAGAAGAGAGATAGAAGAAAAAAAGGATCTTCTCATGGATTAAAAATCTGTTAACACCATGTTAACACAATGGGATTTTGAATCTCTATGTATTATTCTGAGATATTATTTAGCCGGATTTAAAATCTTACAATGAATTGATAGAAAGGAGATTCACGATAGTCTTGACCCTTTCTCCACCAGTAAATTCATGAAAATTCAATTGTGGATCACCCATATATCTCGACAATATTCTTATAACGAATCTGTCTCAAAAAATTATTTACAATAAAATGAATTACCTGCACCGATTTGTGAATTCCATAAGCCAAAATTAATTGATTAATGGTATCAGCTAATGAGTGTATACATTCTGAAAACATGCTATGTGATCCTGTATGAAACCAGGCAAATAATTTGAATAAAAAATTTAATCCATTTCTGAAATAATATTCAAATAATTAAAAAACAGAATAATACAAGTCACGCCGAGATCCAGTATATGAGAGGTTACTTAAATATTGCTGACATTTATAGAGATAACTAAAAAAATTATACTGTTGTCTTGGTGTGACTTGTCTCTCACCTCAAATTTGGACTTACATGGCAACCGCAGTCATAACCACTCTTCCTGATCTTCCAAGCAAACCTGATTCTTCCTCGGCTAGCTCTGGCGGTTTATCCATTTCTCGCCTAAAGTCTCTTAATCTTCGCTTCATAGTGAATATATCTGAAAAACGCTCATTCGGTAAAAGACAACAAAAGTTTTAATGGCCTAGGAGCTGATACATTAGCTACACATAGGAATGAAGATATATATTCAAAAAATGTAAAAAAAATAAAAGTTAAAAATAATCTTCAGATTTAATTTTATCTATTATTGTCATTACTGGTGACGCCTTATTAAATATCTTTATTGATTAGGGCATAAACATAACAATGTCATAATATGGGATACAATTGAAATAAGTTAAATAAGCCTATAAGAAAAATCAGTTTTTTTATAAAATTCTGAGGTTTGATTTGAATGAATGCAAAGGGGCACTTTGCATTTTGTCCTAAAGTTGTTACGAGTGAAATAACAATTTGTATTTTTACGAGTGTGGTCGTAAAATCATGGATGCTTGGTTAAAAAAACATCATGCATTGTGAATGAATCGCTACGAATCAAAATAACCACAAATGCCTATTCATTTTCCTTCATACATTACATCAAGATCGCCCAGGAGAACCCCGCAATCAAAGGAAGTGGAAGATTTCACAAAAAACACGTTTGGGAATGTCCATTAATGATTCGTTCAATTTTTTTTTACTTTCAAATATATTACAACTGGTCCCATATAATATTTACAGTCCTTATTGAACATACCTAATCTTAGAGATGTATAATGATTGACAGCTAGTAACGCAGCAATTTAATGTTTGTACATTGAAATTCTTTTGAAAAATGGAAATGAATACCACGTGATTCACCAGTTCTTACATCAAAGTATTGAGGAACTCCACAAACACTTTCACTAATGATTGAAACATATGGTTATACAACTTTTTTCAATAATATTAAGGATTTTGACCAAATAGTCAAAACCAGAACAAAATGACAACTATGCCGATTTCGACAAAAAAAAAACTTGAGTTGTCAAAATAAGAAACATTTTGAATACTCTGTGGCGCGGGCGAATGTTTTTAACAACAACAAAATGTCCCGTCGGCAGGTGGAAATATCAAAAGGTCTCAGTGTTTTGTCTGTGTTTTGTGAAAAGAATTCGCTATATGGAAACGGTTGGCGAAAAAAACAAGCAACTATTCAGATATAACACGTCTGTAGTTTGTATTCTGTTTTGAAAAGTTTGGTCCCAGTATATTTAACAAGTTCTCAAATTCGTGATTGGACATTCTTAGAAAATTACGAAACGATGATCTCAGTTCCACTCATTTCTATATCATCAATTATCAAACCTGCCATAACTGTATCCGTTCCATTAATCTATTCTTCTTCTTAACAATAATCTCATCTACTATTTTGATTTTTTTGCTTTCACTCCTTTCGCTCAAAAGATTTGATTATGAAAAAGCAGCCCATTATAAAAACATAGTCTAGTCTGGGCATGATGAAAACTGTTCATGTAGTGGAAACAATAGGAATCATTTCATAAATGTGAAAAACAGTTGTCATACACCAAAGGTGTGAAACTACAAAAAAGCTATCAATTTCCTTATTGTAATTGACCACATGCTATATGAATCAACTGGTGGCTCAAACATAAAAAATATATTTGACATATATTTGAATCATTTCATTGGTTAGAGCTTCTGAACAAAATATAAAACCCGGTCACCACTCAATCCCATCGAATATGGTAAATTTCAAACTGAACAAAAAAAATGTATGTGGCGCCATCTAACGGGGAAGAATGAAGTTCAAAGAACTGGTGAAAATTCAGTAGTGCCAACAATAAAATATAAATCCCAGGCACCACAATATGGGGCTGTGGACTGTGTTGCCACTTCCTTCCCATCATACATAACCAACTAGAGGGAGTAGATTGTGAGACAGGCTATTAAATTTTAAGTATTGGTATCACCAAAGACTTCAGTTCTATAATGTGATGTCGTACACAAGGTTGTGAATGATTCACTCAATTATCTGATAAATGCATTGAAAGCCAAATTCAAAAGGCAATACAATCTAGAAAAAAAAGGAACTTCCAATGAAAATTATAGGGGAACACAACGTGAAATTGTAGATGTGGATCAGTCTACACTGGAACCACAAAAAAAATTGTAACTACCCAGCTCTCTGAACACAAGACAAATTTTCACCAGGGTATACTGACAAATCAGCAGTAGTGGAACATGCACTCTGAGAAGACACCCACGTTATTGTGCTTGAATAGATGAAAGTGTTCGATAGAAATCGGAGCTATTACTAAAAACTGAAGGTGGAGTCAATTGAAATTCATAAAAAAAAAAAAACAAATGAAAAGAATAGTGAATTACCATAAAGTTTAGCCACCTGTACTAAATGAACACGAATGAGATCATTTAATTGAAACAATAGGAATTAAGCTGCTTCCACCACCAATGAAATAAAATCAGTGCTCAAACCTTGAGTGTAATATACGCTTTGAGGACATCCAGAACAGTTTGTCCTTTGTCCTCATTGCTCTAAAATCTACCAGTCTTAGGCAAAACTTCAGGCATAAAAACCTGAAGATCATATCCAACAAACGTGGAAAATCAATCTAACATTAAAAAATAATTACACTGAAGAAGACACTTTTTTTCTTACAGATAAAAGATGTGTACTCACTTTGTTGATACTTCTTTTTCTCTATATCTCTTTTCATGAGTTCATTTTTCAGATTTTCATGAGATTTCCACACCTCCAGGGCTTTTGCTTCAACATCCTTTCTCCAGTAAACGGTAATAGGCGGTTCAGATTCGTAAGGAGAACGCCTTTTTGTTTTAGGGAGGGATTCCAAATCTGACGGTTTCAGTAAAAAATCAGACATTGCTTTTACTGGAGTTATAAAATTTCTTTCAAGTGATTGCACTGTAAGATCCAGACGTTTTCTTTCTTTTGGTACTTGTTTAACTATAACGAACACAAAAGGAATTATCAGTGAAAACAAATTCAAAAAATAGGTTACCCTAATATACAATAAATTGAAAAATGTTCAATAATTCTGAAAATAATATTCACTAGTTCTACTTTTCTCTTCTTCTATTTTACAAATAATATTTACTAGTTCTACCGAGTAGTGCTACAAATCCTATTTTTTACTTGAACAATAAGTGTTGAGCAATGTCAATGACTGCTTCTGGTCTGAATAAACTGCTTGCAGCAACTGTTCTAAGAGAACAAGTTTAAGTAAAAAAGGTGATGATATCTCCTCCTATGAAGACGCCATCTATGGAAAACTTGTCTATTTATCGATTTGAGTTTTCTGTTGGTCCCACAAATGGCGTCTCCGAAAGGGGAGATGTTATTGTCAATTCTAACTCAGGCTTATTCTTTAATGATAGTTGAGTCGAACAATGCATTCGTGATTCAGTCTAGAACAACTGATGAGACATTTGGCAGATCGAAACAGTGTTGTTTGGTGTTGAAATACAAATGCTGTATTTTTGGCATTAGATCCAATTGATTACTAAATTGGACTAAAACATAGAAAGTAGGTACAGAATTCATGTGCCACCTTGGGACGCTAACTTCACTTCAGTAAATAAGGGCATTTTGTTATTTACTGGAAAACTTTTTCGACACCTAGTGAGTCAATCGTCACTTGACCTAATAGGAGTAACATGTACCTTTCTATTTCAAACCTATTAGTCCACTGCCGTTCTGTGAGTGATATGTTTACACATTTACTTTAGTACAATAGAATTATCTTCATACATTCATTTATAATAATGAAAAAACTTAGATGTGATATTATGTTGATTTCTCTCACCTTCAACTTGATCACTTTCTACTTTTCCAATTATCTTTTTTGTAAGCTCTTTAATTGAATCTGATGTGGTTCGTCTTCCAGGTTCATTTTCATTCTTTTCTTCTAGACTCTTCTCCTTAACATTATCCAAGAGAATTGTTGCTTCTTTATTCGTTAATTGAGAGGAGACTTTCATCACATTTTCTTCTTTCTTAACATTCTGCTCATTTTTTGGAGGGTCATTTTTATTTTCCTTATATAAGACACTTGTCCATGAGAAAAAACGTTGATTAATTTTGCTTTGGGGTTTGCAAACTATACTCAAATGTCTTACTGAAAAAAACACCACTTGTAGGTAACTTAAAGAGCCTATAATATGCCGATGAATCATCATTAAATGATTTATTTCAGTTTCAAAAGAATACAATATGATGAAGACCCTATAAAGTGAAAGTGAATTATTGTTACTATGTTGAAACTTACAGTAAGTGTAAGTAAACATCAAATATTTATACATAAATAAAACAATCCCAAAATACGGTAATGGTTTAAAATCAGAGAATTCTACTAATGTGTAGTAACATATCAATGAAACGTTTTTTATTTTTATATGAATATATCTCGAGTCCTGTATAAACTCATGAAGAATATTTTGAACAGCCTACCTACATAATGTTAGAAGTGAATTATCAAAAGCATACATAAGATCTAGTATTTCATATATATAATATATTGGCAAGTATTACATCTGACAGGAAGTATTGCAGCTGCAAAGTTGTTTGGACACCTACCCCAAATAAAAATAGGAACACTGCAGCAGAAAACTTTATTTGGACTTGATACAAAGGGGCCTTCAGGGTTCTCCACAAATTCAAAGTTTTCAATTTGATTATCATCAACAAACAATTTCAAGTAAACTATTAAAAATCGTACAAACCTTTCAATTGAATATGATTCTTCTTTAATTCAATTGTCTGGTGCCAGACATATCTGGAGAAAATCAAATAATTGCGGGTTAACATATTTTGCAATGAATACAAAAACTGACTACTATTATTTTACTGGATTTCCATTTACATTTATTAGGTACTATCACAGAACAACCCAATATTTAAATCATTTAGAAAAAACATCCTTTTTTACATTCCTCCCTCCTCATCGGTTAACCTTCGATCACTCAAAAAAAATTGTATTCTTTTCTATTTTGGGAGCTCTAACCAATAATTTCTTATTTCACAGAATGTCCAGAATCCACATCCACAAGACCGCAAGCACCGTACTTGTGTTTACTTCTATACGGTGCGGCGGTGCCGCAAGTAAGCTCTATCCTTAGAGTAATAATAAGACATAGAGTTGCCATGCGTATACCAATACAATACATGTATTTTGAAGCAGTTATCGTACTATCCTTTTCTGTACAATTTCTGGCGAGGGGTATGGCGGGTAATGAGGGGTTATGGAGAGTTTGTTTACATTTGAAGTAAGTTGGACCATAAAACAGTGGCTGTCCAGGAGTTCAGTTGACTTGATATAAAGTTNAGAACGCAATAGATTATCTGTGTTTTTTCTACCATTCCATATAAATTTAAATTTCAATGAAAACACACTACTATAATTGTGGAATATGTTTGCCAATCTTGGTTTCCACTACAAACACTTGAAATGTCTTTACGAAATCTCTCTTGTAGCAGTTCTTTCAACTTTGTGTTTGGAAGAAACCACTTTTGACATGCTTGATTCAGATAAAAAAAAGAGGTTTATCTTGAGACTCAAAAATATCACCTTTCATATACGCCTATACGCCATGTGTGTTGCGATCTGACGCCCACGTGGACATCTTCACTACTGTGCTTATTACGTAAATATTATAAGATTTTTCAATGCACGTACTTAGACGGCGGATACTCACAACATAGGCTGATTTCCATTCCCAAAAATGACGTACACGTACCATTCACCATCATGTCAGAGATGAAACTGTATTCGCGAAAGTCCTTGAATTTGTCCCCGGTGACATTTATATATTAGCAATTAATATCAACACAAAATAAATGATTACAGTAGAAGTTCAATTTTTTGGAGAGAAACAAATGAAAATTGATTTTGAGGGGAGATAAATATAGCCAAGAAAGTGCAGAAATTCCACTTATATTTCTATTTTTCAGTTTTATTTCTCGATAATACCCACAATTTTTCGTAGTTCAAAATCTGTGAATACCTCATTTATATCAAATACAATATAGAAAGATAGCTTTTTTTTCACTATGGCGTTTGGCGAGAGTCGACTGAGAAAATGTTATCGTTAATAAGGTGGTCTGGTGGTTAAAACATATACTAGGAGAAAAGTGACAATATCTCAGATATTTGAGGACCAAATGCCCCCTCCCGTTCGCCCTTTTAAGTTACGCCTATGAATTTGAGCTGTATAAAAATAGTGAGGTGTTTACAAGTTTCTAGTATGAATTTGTATTCCAAGTTTCTGAGAGAGAGTTTATTCCCGAATTTTAATTCTGATAATGTTATTAATATGTATTTACAATCGAAATGAAGCCGCTTTCACGGGGCCGCCTCTGATTGTTTAATTCACAAAATGTCATTTTGCGAAAATAAGAGAGATGGATTATTCAAGTGGATACCACAGGTTTACTGTATACGGGGGGTTATGAAATAAAGTCGTCTTTAGACGAGGGAGAACCTGAAGAAAGGGGAAGATGTGATTGCAAAGTTGTATAGCGATTTTAGCATCAGTGATATAGTGACAGCGATTTTGACGTTACTGATACTGGGTTTGAATTTTTCAAATGAACATTACTTTTTGATTTTACTTCATGGTTATTTTATGAATGTTCTCCAAACTTTCTTTGGTGAACATTTGTATAGTTGATTAGTGTTTCACAGTTCATTCACTCCATTTCATCATGGCTCACATATTTGAGGATGTATAACTCTTAAGCTAGATAATTTTGTTGGTCAATTGAAAACCATGATGAAATGCACACACTGTGGACACTCATCAGTAACCTTTGATCCTTTCTGGGATTTGTTTCTCTCCATAAGACAAAGAACCGACCAATTGAGTTATGTTTTATATAAAAAATAATAAGAGAATTCACGAAAGAAAATGACGAAATGTTGATAGAAATAGTTCAAACAATCCTTAGAAACTGAAATATGATAAATTACCGTTATTAAGAAAACTAGATTAACTACAAACAAATACACGTTTATTCAAAACTTCGTTACTGAAACAATATACATATTGTTTCAACCAATACCTAACTGAAAAATACCACATTCCAAAAGTCTAAAAAATACAAAATACTCCAACAAAACTCCGTTACAAATAAACCACATCCCAAAATTTTAACAATGAAAGTATATAGGTAACATGTAAAACATCGTAACGTCGAATCTGAAGTTCAAATCTATGAGTGACTAATGCCAAAACGTGGATCTCTTCATCCTTGTTTAGTTGCAGGAGTTTGTATAACCTCTCAATGGCCAGTCCATATCATAACGTCACTAAACGAATTCAAAATGTTTACATCATAAAGTCAAATTCTAAAAAATTCTCAAAATTCACAGTGATATGTATACTTTCCATAACATATCAAAAAAGGCCCTCAAAATCAATAGATTTTTCAGCACAAGGTCAGTAAGTTTTAGAATCGGTCTGGATTGTAGGTCAACTTCTGAGTTTTCATGGTTATCTGTCTCTAAATATACAGGAAATATCAGACTTCTTTAACACCGTACATAAGTAAACAGTGTTTACTTCTATACGGTGTCTTTAATAACTCTTTTGACCTTTTCCTCATCTTTGAATCTAGCTGTAGTAAAATAACATCATTACAGCAAGTACATTTTTTAAGAAATGTTATACATTCCTTCCCAAGTTTGGACCATGATTTTTGGATAACCTGGATTAGTACTTGAAGGGCCTACTTAATCAACTTTTGTATTTCCTCCAAAAAGTTTTCTTTACTCTATGACCCACAGATTAGATATTTGTGACTAATTTAGTCATAAATATCATATACCATGTCTGAAACTCAGATAATAACTGAAACTGAAGAATGTTTTTTTTTACCAAAAATTTATTTTTATACTAAAAAATAACGGTGTTTTTAGTTTCGGAATTTTTCCTGTCAGAAAATTAGAAAATTAACATAAACAGGTTACATTTCAGTATGTAAACTGAAATAATCAAGTGTGATGTGTAAATTAAGTGCTAATGGGTTTACTTTAAGCACTTGCCAAAGTTGTATAATAGTCTTCTGTAACAATAGAAAAACGATAGTGGACACCAGATAAATTGAAGTTGAGGCAAGTAATGCACAAAATTTAAGTGTTTCACAAAAAAAATAGATCACTTCAATACCTCTTGAACTAGAGCTTTCAGTTAGAAACAGAGCCATTTATGGGTTTATAATAATTCCAAAGGTAATTTATTGGAATTGAAACTGTTCAAAATACATTATGATAAAAATGCTGAAATACGGATTGATTTCCATTTTCCTAAATAGTATCAAACATGAAATCATACCTAAATTTTATTTGAATAATAACTTTGCAATCTTGACTACAGTTTACTTGTGTTACGTCTTTTAACTTATCAACTATATTTACATTTAATGTTTTATTATCACAGCAGTCGTTTTAGGAACCACTATGATACATTGAATGTTAAAAGGGACTGTTCAGCCAAGGAAATTAGAGACTCTTTTATTAAACTGTCAAAGGAGGTAAGTGATTTTGTTGGAGAACGCAATAGATTATCTGTGTTTTTTCTACCATTCCATATAAATTTAAATTTCAATGAAAACATACTACTGTAATTGTGGAATATGTTTGCCAATCTTGGTTTCCACTACAAACACTTGAAATGTCTTAACGAAATCTCTCTTGTAGCAGTTCTTTCAACTTTGTGTTTGGAAGAAACCTCTTTTGACATGCTTGATTCAGAAAGGAGCAAAATTTTTGAAAAAGCTTTTAAGAAAGATAATGGGTTATTTTGAGCCAAACAATTGTTATTATGGATTCAGAAAATCATATTCGACAACAAATGCAATTAATACACTAATCTTCACAATTTCAATTTTCAATATTTTCTGTGACCAACCAAGGCTTTTGACTGTTTGACTCACACTATTCTCTTACATAAATGGGAGCATTACAATAGTACTCTTTTACTGAAGTCATGCCTCTTAGAAAGCAAATTATTGCCTTTTGTTCATGGAATACTACAGGGATATATGTGTTGATCTATTGATTAATTGATCCCCTCATATATAAACCACGTCACTTATTGCAGTCCTGATATGTTGATGTCATCAACATCATATATAAACATAGTGATGAATCCAACGTTACTGAATGTCTGGTGTGCAGTCAAAACTCTTTGATTGGTTTTCTAACAACTAACTATGTATGACTAGCGATAAAACTAATTTAATGTACTTCATTGCCAAGAAAATAACATGTTCTCTATTCCTTTTAAGACTGTACCTATTTCTCATTTCAATCCAGAATCAAATATGCCTTATTTATTTGGGTTCATGCAGTGTCGGCGATTGGAATATTTGGTTTAAAACGAAAAGCAGTAAGAATTGTGGATGGTCTTTGATATAGAGCTGAGTGCAGAGAAGCTTTCATGAACTTCAATATATTAACATATAACAATGCCCAATATTTGCCCATAAATATAGATCTTCCTTTGTCATGCACCATAATCTGCATGGTTATGATAAAAGACACAAGGAACATATTGACTTGCATGCTTCAAAAATGTCCGATAAATTGCCAGACAACAATAAGTATATCTCTCTATATCAAGATAGACTGAGGAAGATTCGCCTAATAAATATATCTATTCCAATCATTTTGGGCATGGGTTAGTTTCTATTGGATGTATTCATGAAACCTTTTATGGTTTTTATGGTTTTACAAAAACATATGTTTCGCCTGTTGCGTTTTTGTAAAACTGTTAAGTGAAAATCTCACAAAGTGTTTCTTGAATACGTTATAGATATCATCAAGTATCGGCCGATTCCATCACATATCCTATTTGGTGGGTTAATATGCCTGATTCATGTACAGTTCAATGCAGACAGCTAGACTTCATGTTAATGCCCTCTTCCATTCGAAGAAAATTGTTTCTAAGTCCTTGAATTTCTATTGTCTCTATATAATCTTGAATAGTAACTCTGAGATCTATTGGGCCCTTGGGTCTCTTCATCTGTAATATTGTGGGGGCTTTCTTCGTGTGCATGTTCCGCTACTGCTGATTTGTCAGTGTGACAGAGGCGATAATTTCTTTTGTGCTTCGAGAGATGGTTACATCTACTTTTGTCCTGTCCTTAGACTCTTAATGATGGTTTTCGTTGACCTGAATAGCGATTGATTGTGTTCCTCAAAAATTTTCTTAATCCTGTTGGTAACATTTTTAACGTAGGGCAGGAAAGCTTTTTAAATGACAGAATATCTGGAATAAAATCAGCTAAGAACCCCAGAAAGCCTCTCTTGAAAGATTTTTTTTTTAATTTCTCTATTGTAGTTCGTCTTAACATATTAAGTAACCCTTTTATTTTAGCATCATCCTGATTTGAACAAAAACCTAAATGCTCATGAAAAATTTTTAGAAATTAATGAAGCATACAAAATATTGAGTAATACCGAATCCAGAAGAAGTTATGATCTAGGATTGTTACCTTCTGATGCAAATAGAAACGTGTATTATAGAGAATGGCCAAGCACTGAGTAAGTATAGTTTGAATTTGGCTAACAATGTTTTTTATTGAAAATTAGATGAGTTTGGACTTCTATTGTCTAAAATAACATGTTTGACCAGTAATCACCACTTTTTCATATACATTATTAACATATTAATAATTTTCCATGATAGAATAGGATATAAGTTTATTCATCATTTACAACAATTGAAATACTTCATTGTGAGATTTTCACTCACCAGTTTACAAAATCACAATAGCTTTCTCATATATTCGCACTAACTACCAAATTAGTGCTTCATATAATAGGTATATCAATTTGAACCATATGACCTACCTATGTAAGGGTTAATGATTTTACTTGAATTTAGGTAAAAACTAATTGAACATTTTTAAACATGAAAGAAATGTTAGCAACTCTTTTAATGAATTACAATTTGTGCTTATAATATCAAACATTATGCTTAATTCATAACTCCCGGAACAAATTGTCACAATACCAGACAGAACCATATGCTTTATTTACCTATTCCAAAATTCACCTTGACTCAGCATTCTCTGATTTATGAAAGTATTAAAGTATATAATCACCTTCCTACCATTTTAAACAATAACACAGATATGAAAAAGTTTCGAAGTACAGTTAAAGATCTTTTAATGAAAAAAGCTTATTATTCTATCCATGAATTCTACCATGATAACCTGTAAATTCTACTTGATTTTTCAATGTTCACCTAAACTCATCTGTCTTCTTGATGTTTTATTTGTGAAATTGCTATGTTTGTATTTTTTATATTTTATGACATTCATTCAATTTTTTTACAAGACTTTGTAAATAAGATACTAATCTTCCGACAATAAAGCATATATTGATCAATTGATTGATTATGAGCGTAACAGTGGCGGCATATAGATAGCAAGAGGTTGTTCTCAGGAGGGCTTGTCCCACTGTTACAAAAGTTCTTGTTGAACGAGTTTTTTAATCTTCTGCGCCATATCTTTACTGTTTTCAATAAATTTGCTTAAACTATTATTTGTCCGTCAAGCCACGTCCAGCTGTATTCTTTAAAAAAAAAACAGCAATGCTATTGGTGGGTTCACGAAAGTATGTCACTGTCCTTTAACACTTATCATTGTTACTGGAAGTGGAATAGACCTGGTGAATAGCTTGTTGTTGCAGTTCTCTACAAAGAATGGAGTCGATAATATCAATTTGTTTGAGCTATTGTATAGCGAAACATGTGTTGCAATTTTGTAAATTTTCTCACAATGACGTGTTACTTGAATACATCAGAAGTGTAAATACATGAAAACTTATCGGACTAGTCACAAAGGTGAGAACTTAAGTATAAGTAATTAAAACTTACAAAATGGAAAAATCAGTCTGTTCATAAATAGAATATGTAATACATACATGGAAGATAAATACCAACAATTTTAACATTCTTGCAGAGAGTAGAACTCATAATTTTTTTAAATTCAATTAGCTGTCATTTTAGTTCATTCCTACTCACTAAGCTTAAATTACCATAAATTTGTTAGAGCATTTAATACTTTGTTATACACGAGAATCTTTCCTGATACTTAATCTTGAGTATGGCTGGTGTAATCTTTCACTGTTCCTTTTATAATAATTACGTAAATCATGTTTTTTCATCAGGTAATTTTCATCTATCTCAACGTTTAATATGATCTGTAATATATAAAGTAAGGGTCTGTGAGAATTCCTAGTTCATTGAACCATTTTGTACATAAATATATGAAGTGCCCTTCCTTCCTATCACTTTCCGTGATAATGTCATTACCAAAAAATAATGACATTGTTAATGAACGTGTAAAGGTAAGAAGTATTAAAGCGGTAATGAAGCATAAACAGATATTTTGATTTTCGAGCATCATTCCTAGCAGGGGGGGGGGAATACTGTCAGCAATAATGATCGTGTAAAGCGAGGTCATCATTATTCAGTTCAGTACTTCACTGCACATCAATCTCCTACAGAAAGTAAGAAAGAATTATCACATGTTGAAGACGAACTAGCGACATTTTATACTAATTTTGCACCCTTATATTTTTTCTTTAGTTTCATTTAATTTATTTTAATAAGTCACTTTCGACTATTAGTTCTCTTATAATTTTCTAATTCCGTTATGGTTACTCAGAGGGGGCGCGCTCCCTGCAAACTGTTCATAACCGTATTTTTTCGTGTTAGAATTGGTTGGACCATTCGCAATAATTTATTAAAAGTGTCTTCATCCATAGGAAAATAATTTTTATAATCACTCACTTCCTTCAGAAACACTAAATGTGAATAGTTTTTGCGTTTTTTTTAACCATTCCTTTATCCAGTAACGACTTTTAACAGAACGGTTCATACTCAATGCAGTAATTATAGCTAGATATGCTTTTTTCTTAAAATCCATAATCGATAAAAACATGGTCTATGTGATTTCTACGCTACTCGAAACAATAATGATGAAAAAATAATATCAGTAATAATGAACATGTAAGGTGCCGAAAATAATGACATGTAATATCAGGACAATTTTTAGTAATGATGTTTCTGTAATGATCTGCTGGAATGAATTTATTACTGAATGTATAGGCCCTTTACATTTAATTATTATTTTTTGCAAAACAATAATTCTATCCATATGTCCCAGGTTACCTCAAAACATTAGTTCATAGCTTACTATTGACTGCACTATTACAATATCAAATTCAAGTTTGATACTGGTATTGAATATAACAGTGTTATAGGGAAACCAAATTTGAATTAAATTGCTTTTTTTGTACTAATCTTATATGAAATAGTAGGTGTTTTCACAGTCTAGTTAGACAACACTTATTTTTGATATACTTTTTTCTGAGAAATATCCTTAATAATGTTACTACTTTGATTCAACAACCTCACTGTCCTCTAGAAGAAACATTATGCATTTATTTTATTCATAATTTTCAGTCCTTGGAAAGACCCCATATTTTATCATAATCGTAATAAATCCAAAAATACCCAAGGCGACAATAATTCTTATTATGGAATCAAAGGAGTGAAAAAAGTCTCCAATTTTACAATTGTTATTATGTGTTTGATTATTGCGACGATTGGAGTATCACTACAATTTCTTGCCATCAGGTGAGTATGACTTAATCTCAACAACATTTTCATTTTACTTCTATTGTTCCATCTAATATCAGATTGTTAAATTATTTAGCGATCTAGTATAGCAACATGTCTCGTGCAATATGTAGATATATTTTTATTCTTGACAATCAATTTTTAAATAAAAAATAAAATTGACTGACTATTGGTTAATGATGCTGACATGCCCTCCGAATATGTCTGAGCCTCGAGAACAAGGCCAGGCCAGACTATCTAGGTTAAGAGAAAGGAAATGAATATAAAAATTCTTCGTCAAAGGAAAATAATATTAAACCCAAACTTACTGACAACACATTCTAGTCTCATAGGCTATTCATACACCATCAAAAAACCCTAATATTTACACCTTGTTGGATGAAAAATGTAAAGAACATACAAATGTTCACTTTCAAGTGTGGATGAGTACCTACGAAAGTTCCAATTGCTCTTCATTCAACTAAAATACTCTAAAATAGTACTGTTGCCAAGCTTGAGCAACCTTCAAAATCTTTGTCTTTATGGCAAAATCAATAATTTAATTGAAAATGAAAACGCTGAAAATGGCAACTATAGAAAATATGATCTTGAAATTAGTTACTATTGACTTTTTATTTATATTTCAGGAAATCATTTACTATGCAGAGGGATCATTTAATAGAGAAGTCAAGACAAGCGGAAAATTCTTTGAAATTGATTAAAGATACTGCTGCATTAAATGGTAACGAAGTACAACTGGAACTTTTGAAAATGAGATTTGCGAATAGAGGCCGAACAGAATGATTGATACAAATATGTTTTTTAGCAAAATGTACATATTTATGGAATCAGATATAGTACTTCTATATAGATGACTTTAATTCTATTATTTATTTTATATTTTACCATCGTTCATATGGGCAGCAAAAATCTAAGTCTAGGTTGCAAATCAGAACCAAAATAAGAGTAGTCATCGTTTCTCTCTTTCTCTGGTGATGATTCCAGAAACATTTCTGGTTATTTTTGTCTAAAAACGTCATCATGAACTCCAGCCTACCTATTTAAATAAATCAATAATCAATTCAACAAATGACTTCAATAACATTTTTAGGGGTTGATCAAAAATGGTGTGGGAAGAACATATCCAAAATGTGGTTTGTAAACTGAGCTTTGTGTGTCTTTACTAGGCAACTGAGTAACTCTTAAAAATGATATTCTTTAATCTTGCCTAATCTGTACTCTCATATGGCCTCATTTTTTTTGGGATCCAGAGCTCACGCCAATGATGCATTCGTCACACGAAAAAATCTGAGATGTATAATGGGAGTGCATCCTTCTGGATCATGTAGAAAATTATTCATAAGTGTTGGCATTCTAACTTCACCATGCTTTTAAACATGAGAATATTCATAACTATAATACTAGAAATAAGGATAGGGTATTTCAACTATTTTCAGGATTGGCTTTGGGGCACAAAGCACATGAATCCATGCAGATCATCAATATCTGGAAATATGTTCAGATCCAGAAAGTATATACAAACTGAAAAACACGAGTTGTACATCTTTTTAAAACAAAGAGCATTTTATTCTCTGAGAGCGTATCTGCCAACATAAGCACATCCCAATGGTAAGCCTTCATTTCATCCAATTTTACTGTATTAACGTTTTTTTTTTCTAATCAGTGTGAAATACTACACAATTATTTTTGTATGAATTGTATGTATGTTGTAGTTATGAAAATATATATTCTATTTTAATGAATTTCCACTCTCTTTTTGATAATTCTATTGTGGTTTGTCTTCTTTTTTATTTTTGTTTATATGCGTATATGTATATGTATTGGATTTCTGAAGCAACAGAAAACTGGAGAAATTATTAAAAATTGGAAGGGAATACATTGGATCAAAACTTTATCTGGAACATTTTGTTGTGTTCCAATCAAGTATATTCAAAAAGCCCACTTTTTGAGCAAAGTTTTTCTCTGTGACAGGAGAGCAAAGCTTAAACTGAATCATATTAAAGATCAGGTACGTCTTAATCTATTTTGATTCTATTCTTGATAATAATAACTCTTCACAATATAGACTTCATTTCCAATACACGTTTCACTACAACACTAGTTTCCTCAGTGGACTGGTACTCGAAACTAATTTAAAAGGCAATTCATACAAATTACTAACCTTACTTAATAGAAATTACTACAAAAGGTACATAGCGAGTGAACTATTGTGAGAAATGAGTCATGAAAATGAATTTTGCGGTGGTAAGTTTTTGGTTGTGTAATAGGAAATTTGATTGTTTACTTTTATCGATTTCCAGGGATTCCAGCAGGGTTATTTTTTGTTTTTCATTTTCTGTATGTACTACGCCATAGTTTCTTTCAAGGACAAAACACAAGCATTACAGTAAAATCCTTGAGGCGCTATCAGAGCGGTACCTATGCGAAAGTAGCGATTCACATTAGATTTGAATCGCTAGAGATTAAATCCTTTTGGAAAAACGTTCTCAGAAAGTTTATTCAACACAAACGCAGTTCTCTAAATGAAAGAGTTCTCAAACAGTGAAGTTCGAGGTGTACTGAGTTGAACCTCAAAACGATGAGCAACCACAGTCCGTTACGTATTTATGATATGTATCGCTCTTGGTGGAATCAAGTGTCACTTGAACACTTTCCGTGAAAGTATCTATAAAAGAGAGATAAATCCCCAACCTTTCTTCGATGTTCCAGACTATCAAGGTTGCAAGTGATGTTCGCGTCTCCAATCAGGCGGATGGCTCTTTTCTGAATGAAATTTAGCAGCATCAGGGTATGTTTAGGGGTGGAGCTCCAAACATGACAACAATACTCCAAAGAAGGTCTCATCTGAACTTTATAAAGCATCAAAAGTTGCCCAGGTGTGAACAGTTTGCTGGTTCGGAACAGTGTTCGAAATTCGAAATTTCACAAAAAAATCAATAAAGTCATTTTAGCACAAGTTTGCATTTAATTTATGTAAAATTTTCCCTAAGTGGTCTATCTTAATTTTTTGTGAAATTCTGCAATTAACCGAAAAAAGAAATAATCACATATACCACTATCACCGCAAAAAGTTTAAAATTACAGTATTGTATTATTAATTATCTTCTGAAGAAAACTCGTCTTTTGATGAGCAACTATCGCGATCGCTAATTTTCAAGGTAATATTCAATGGTTCAATTGCAATCTCCAATTTAGTGTCGAGATCCAACTTTTTGTCTTCTTCTTTTATAGTATGTCTAATGCATTTTTTCCATGACTCTGGTGTGACATTTTCTATCACAGTAGCTAGTAAGTCTTTTACCTCACCCATTTTAAAAGTCAAGTTTTCCCCCGCACTTAATTTTTTATTTGAGCCCAATTTAGCTCGATCGGGTTTAGCTCACAATGGTAACGAGGGAGGCGGTGTACAATTATGTTCCTCTCACGAGCCATTTCGTCGACAACATATTTCTTCAACCGAGGTATATGTTTCTTTGGGATATTGAGTAACTGGATTAACATATTATTGTCGAATGGTGAATTTTTTTGAGAGAGCCGGTTGATGATATCAGCTTTTTGCCAGGCAGTTGTTGTAAAAGGCATCGTTCATAACGACGTCTTTTAAAACAATTTCCTAGTGGTAGTCGCTATTTTTTTTGGACTTGAAGAGTAACAAGCCTTTTCCCAAAAACCCGAATTGCTGGCTAAACGAGTTATTATGAGCCTACGTCCTTTGCCAGCTGGCTCTTTTTATCCTGTTGAGAGGCCTTCAACAAAATTTTTTCGACAAATTTTTCATTTCTAAATCTTGCCATGCCTTTGGGACAGTATGGTCTTGATTCAACCAAGTCTCATCTAAATAATAAATCTTTCTACCTTCAAGACGATACCCTCGAATTTTTTTCAAGTAATTTCTCCGCTACAAAACAATTCCTCCTCTTCCTATAAGATCACTTTTTCTACCTCTTTTCATTAATTTATTGTTCATGTGCGCAATAAAACACGTCTTGATATTTTGGGCATCGATTCATCGGAACTTATTTCGATTGCAACTTTTTGTAAGGTTGCGATTTCATTTTGGAAAAAGAACAAATGGAATTTCTATGATTAGCATATTTGGTGCATCATCAAGCTGAATTTGAATATTACTGGAGTTTTTTCCTAACACCAAATCGTTATTTTGAACACCTCTACACGTGTTTCGATCACCAAGTGATCATCTTCAAGAGGAAGACAAGCTGAATTTGTTTTCTTTTTCTAGTTCAATATCTTTAGATATGTCTTTATATCACATTTACCTTCATTTTCTTTAAATGTTTTAAGAATTTTTGAACACTTCTCGTCATCTGCGTTTGCTTTGACTGCTTTCACTTTCTATATTGTTCACAGCACAAAATTAAACTGATCTATATTTTCCTTGTTTCAGTCCTTAAACATATCCTTTGGTTTTTATCTGATAATAAAATTTCTTTTCATTTACTGTTAATTCTTTTCCTAGAAATGTAGGTATAGTTCACTATCACTGTCGTCATTTAAATCAATAATGAATTTATTTCCACCATTAATATGGAAGTGTTCAATCTCCATATAGTCTTTTTCAAAAATTATTTTTACGCCTGATGATTTCCCCAAATCGATGGGATTGAAAACACAAAAAGAAAGGGGAAGTCTCAGTATGGTGTGTATACTTTTCAGCAATACTCTCAAGTACATAAACTTTTTCAAATGTTTTTGTCTGTAAAACTTCAAGTAGTTGGTTTTTGGTAAAGTTATCCTCAAAACACAAATTGATATCCATTAAAAAACTTTGTATTTCATCTTTCCTCGAATTTTTATTCGGTACTTTGATGAGCTGTCGCGAATGAGGAAGCATTGTCAAGAACTATTACACTATTCGCATCCAAATTTGGGATCAATGTGTTTTCAAACCATTCCTCAAAAATATTAGCTTCCATCTTCTTATGATAGTCAACATTGCAGTCCTCAAGTTTTTTACCACATAAATTCAAAGAATTCGGAACCCATCCTTTACTTCCCCCGCAATGCACAATGATTAGTCGCGATCCTTTGTTTGCAGGCATGTTAGGCGTACACATTCTCGAACCATCAGTCCACCCTTTCGTAACTATGTCGTGAGTGTCATACCAAGTTTCGTCCAAATAGAAAATTTGCCGTTGTTCTTGTCTATATATAGTTATTTTTTCGAAGTATTTGTTATGCAATTCCACTATTCTTCTGCTTTCCATAACTGCTTGACGTTTGTTTATCATTTTAAATCTGAATCCTAGGTTCTTTATCGAATTCTGAAGAGTTTTGTCACAGCAGCTCATGTTATGGCCGGAAGTATTCAATTGCTTCATTATGATTTCAGTTGTATGAATCTCATTGCTTTTGTAACAGTCGTATTATGTTTTTTCGATGATTTTATTAGATGGACATCTGAAGGTTGTGGTAATCCCGCATCACATCGCGTCTTGCGTTCATAAGGTTTGTTTTCGACTATTTTACGTACAGTTGAGAAAGGAATTTCGGTCAAATCTGCTTTTGCTTGTAATAGTTTGTTTTCCTCGAAACCAAACTTGAGATGTAGATTCTTATATACGTTGAAACATACTCTGTGTTTCAATATTCAAATACGTCCGAGTCTTCTTCACTGGTATCTCTTTTTCGCATTGTTCACCATAGCTATTGGAATCACTACACAGGAAAAATTCTGCGTTGTTATTACACTCATTATTACTATTAGTACTTGTCCAAGGATACCACATTTCAAACAGATAACAATAATTTTGAGTAATTATAACTGCACCAATATCGAATTTCAACATTAAAATCGCGATCAGTTCCTAAACTGAACATTGATAACACCACGGCT